TAATCTATAAAAATTTACAAAAGTTTATAACAAACCAATTTTCAGATGCTGAAATTTTAAAACAATGGACGAGGAATGATCGAAAACAAAATCGAATAATTTTCGAAAAATTAATAACATTAAACTTCAGTTACTTGAGTTAAAAGACTTCTTACCGACATATCCGATAGTGAAAACAGTAAAATTTTCAGATATTTGGTTTCTTCATTAAGCGATGAGATGTGCAAAAATTCTTTGCAACAATTAAAAAATAACCCAATTATGAGAATTTCGTTTCAAAGTGCATATCTTCATGCGGTCACTAATATATATTCCGAACTTTAAAGTTCAGGGCCTATTAGTCTATGCACTATGCCAGGGGTTTCCAACCCTATGCTCCCGTGCACCATGGCGCTCGCCGCTGTGCAATCCCCCAAAAAAATGTTTTAGTTTTCAATAAACTATGTGAAAACTTTCACATTTTTAATGAAATAGAAATTTCATCCAGCACAATGTGAAATGCTACCGATCTCTTTTTTTATGTGTATATATTAATTCTACCCAACTATAAATTCATCTTTGAAAAGTAAATGGCGCCCGCCGTCCAACAGATTTTTTTAGATTGTGCTCTTACGGACAAAACGGTTTGGGACTCCTACGCTATGCGATGGACTGACATATTTATCGTTTTATAAAAATAGAGATTTCTTACAGCTCCCAACGTTTTCAGTCAGCTTTGCTTAATTCATGCAAGAAGATATAAGTTCTTTGTGTACAATATAAAGTAGTTTAATAAGTCTAAACAGAACGAAAGAAATTTAAAGTTTCAAAGATGACGTCGAATTAAGAATTTCGGGTAGTTCTAAAAATTATATTACCTCATCAGTAAGATGTCTTTTTCTGTAGTTATGCTAGCACTGCGTGAACAATACTCGTTTTATGTGACTATCAATAAACTCACAACGGACTGAATTCTCATGACAACTGATATGAATGATCAAAGAGCATGACCAGTGAAATGATCAAAACAATTAAGCCGAAGTTCTCAACCGACGGAAGTGAAGACATCGAAAAGGCGATGGCATCTTTAAATGCCATAACCCTGGAATCACGGGATACTCGAAAATAACGTGAAAGCCGTGTGTTGAATGATGTACTCTATTTTAAAACTGTGGCTTTTACCTTGTGGCAAATAGTATGGGGTACACGTCGTAACACCAACGTGCGACGCAAACTGAATACTATACAGCGGCAACAACTGCTAATGATTTGCAAAGTTTATAAAACTTCCCCCACAGCAGCCCTACAAGTACTAGCAGGTACACCCCCCTCGATTTGGTCATAGAGAGTGAGACTGCAATAAGAAAGGTCACAAGACTGCGACGACAACATACGCTATGGCGCCAGACTTATAACCATGAAGAATATGAAGAGCATAGGCCAGTTATCCCCTGTCACCCGGCGGAAAACAACATTGACACATTTATATCTCCATTTCGAGAGCAGTTCGAGACATACAGCCTACGGGTCTCTTTACCGATGGTTCTAAGACATCGGCAGGAACCGGCTGCGCATTCTGCTACGTCTCAGACGGGGAAGGGATGCATGTATGGAAAAGGAGACTGGCACACTACAACTCTGTATATCAGCTTGAACTGCTGGCCATCAGTGTTGCTCTGAAGTATAGCGCAGAATTTGAAGGAGCTCCCACACAGATCTACTCTGACTCGGCCTCCAGTCTGGCGGCCATAGCTAACGAGAGATCACGCAGCCCACTAGATCAAGAAATTAGGCGGCAGCTGTTACAATTCAATTAGGAGCACGCCCCAAGTCTCAGCTGGGTGCTGGCTCATACTGTTATATCAGGCAACGAGCTGGCTGATGCTGCGGCAAAAGAGGCAGCGAGCTTCACTGTCGCTAATGAGGAAAGCACATTAAAGTCGATCTCTTTCATCAAAAGACAGACGCAAGAACAATTATTGTCTCAGTGGCAACAGAGATGGGCTCAAGACACCACGGGTCTTTAAGTTTATCCCAAAAGTCAAGACCGATACACAATCCCACACTTATTTTATGACGCAGTTTCTAACGGGACACACCCCATTCCTCACGTACAAATTTCGCTTTGGATTCGTAGATAATGACACCTGCGAATGTGGTGAGGTAGGTAGGTGACCCTGACCAGCTCTTCTTTTCATGCACCCTCAGAGCCCAGTACAGGCTCAAAAAGCCTAATGACAATTACTGTCCCCAATGGTTCCAGACTACAAAGAGACTGTAATAGATAAAATTAATAATAGCTGTAATAACTGTAATAGATGAATGCGTAATAATGTACAGGGCAGAGTGCGTAATAACCATAGTGTAACGACCATAGTGATCCACTTGAAAGCCCTTAGAGCTCAGTGTATATACACCGGCAGACATTTGCTGGCTGGGCAAATCGTATCTCTGTGACTATGGCCGACACTGACTCATCAAACCTTACTAATTAGAGACATCATAATTAGAGACGTTTTATGGTTATTACTGGTATTTCTCTTCGAACAGAAAAATATAGCCTTCGATCCTTTGTTTATTTTTCAGCGACATTTTAAAGAAAAGAATAATTTTAATGCCGCAAACAATAGTTAGACCTTATTTGAATCTGATACCAGTCATGTTTGTATTTTAAAATTAATTAAAAATCAATCATAAAAAATCAAAATCGTTACAAAAATGTGTGAACACACTGTGTAGATAGATCATTAAAACATACTAACATTTCGAAAAGAATTTTAGAATCATTAGCAATAAAACTTAACCTGAAAAATAATTATAAAATCTATCAAGATGTCTAAGCGTATTGCTATGAATATGCGAAGCTGATTTTATAACTCTGTTACTGAACTCTTCTTTAAACTTAGCCTACTTACGTTCAGAGTTACTTTTTACCAGCGAGGGTGTTAGGTTTTTGGTACAAACTCTGATTTCTAAATTCTGCCTCCTGTTTCTTCCTAAATTCTAAAATTTTCTCCACCCTTGAATTCTGCTGCTCGGTCGACTGCACCGGTCGGATATTCTCTGGGATTGGTCTTGCTTGTTACTGACTGCAAGTTATTGCTTTTATTACAGTTAACTCGCACACAAACACGGATTCAAAGAAATTTATCTCTAAATTTTTAAAAAATTAATCTAACTAAAATTTATGAGTCCATTCCTAGTGGGTTATAACTAAAGGTAGAATGTAACTTAAAATGTAGATAAACATCTCGACCTGCCTTACAGTAAAACAATATATGAAAAATGAATTTCCCACAGCTAGATCAGCCATTAACTAAAATCAGCTTAGGGTATTAGGGGGAGAGGTCACTACAAAAAAAGTACTTAGGAACTGAAGTATAGGACGCATCTAAAAAAATTCACATTGTCGCTTTTACCATGGAATGTATGGCACAGCTACATTGTATAGTAGACCAAACCAAGACCAAGAAAGAAAAAATAGGAGGAACAAGCATAAAATGCACAGTGGGGGACACCAAAATATTTTAAAAGTGATTAGAGCCTCCAAACGTCTTAATTTGACCTTGTATTTCCCTCAGACAAGACACCTGTTTTTCCATTTACTCATTCTAAAATCTATAAAAAATTAGTAATAATCTAAACATAAATGTAAAAGCTGCTACTTACGAAAAATAAAGACTGGCGCTAAATTCTTCCAAGTAACATGGCAGTTTTGACTCTGTTTGGCATGAATTTCACTTAACCTAATTAGCTTCTAAATTCTCTTTCGTAGAATTTTGAATTTGCATAAATATTTAGCCAGAGACAGTATGTGCAGCATGAATAAAGGAAAAGGTAGGAAAGGTTTTATATTATTAATAACTATTGAAAACATTTTTAACAGTTATTCTTAATTTACGTGTAATGGTCACAGGGTTGCTGTGTAGTTATACAGAAACAATCAAAACGCCTTCTCAAAATTCAGATTTAAACTATGCGAACATATTTGTCGTGAAATGGGAAATTAGTTTGATGATAAGCTGTTTCTTTAAAACACTAAATGAAATCATAGGCTGTTTCTTTAAAACACTGAATGAGATCATAGATACAAAATTAGTGGAGCAAACTAAGGACTAATACGGGAAAGTATCTAATTGAATCCCAGTCAAAAAGATATTGTCACAAAAAATTTTTTCAAACTTTTTTTTTTTCAATTTTTATTTGATGGAACGGAAAGGGTCCGATTACTTCTGTAAGAATTATTTTTGTTAATGTCTATGTTATACAGTTAATGTCTATTATACTGCTAAATAATGCTATACAGCTAATGTCTATTATATTGTTAAATTACTTTATTAACATGTTATGACTATTATTAATAAATTGTGTATATTATACTGCTAAATTACTTTATGAGAATCCTTTATGTTATGCTGTCATATCTTATCACGCGTTTGATCTTGCAAGTGTTGCCATTGTGTGAAATGTGAAATCTTTTATTTATTGTTCACACAACACGAGTAATATTCCGTTTTCAGAGTGTTGCTTTTCGACATGACAACAGACCTTCATTTACTTATTTGCTTCTTCAAATTTAAACTTAGCGTCTTGAATCAAGTCTTAATAATGTTAATATTTATGCTTTTTAAAATTACCTATAAACAACCAATGTAATTTAAAACACATTTAATTTATATCATACCCAACTGATTTTTTTCTATAACATTTGCAGCAGTTCTTTAATTGATAAACTATGTCTCTAGTATCATATGTACGAGTTAACGTTCATTTATTGATTTTTTTTTAATATTTACTATATATTCCATTATTTCGATGAAATTCATCAATTCCCAAGGCCTTAAGTCCGATTATTGTTATGAAACACTGCATAGTAGCGGATTCAGTTGACAAGGAGAAGAATAAATGGCAGGTAAAATAAAAAAAATAAATATCAAAATCCCATGCGCGAAAGCCCGCTGGTTACTCGAAACGTAACCATAGCAACATTTAAGCACGAAAATGCATTGCGCAGTCTCTGTTAGAGTGCAGACGATTTTACTGACGTAGAATCGCCAGGACAATGGCGGTTTTGAAAACACTGCTGTTTCTAAAGTTGGTAGTACTTTACTTTTCTTTTATCACTTCAGCATCTGAAACTGACGATTACATCATAGATGGAGTAAATCTGGATGACAAGGTATTGTTCCCTTTTTTAAATATGCATAATAGCTTTAGAATATTAACTGTAACTGCAGATGCACGGAGAAAGATTAACAGCTGTTTTAACTGTTAAAAAATCCTGTGTAATTAATATTTTAGCAAAGATATTCGAGAAAGCAACCATGAGGAATTGAACATTTAGTTTATACGGCATTTTTATAAAATTAATGATTAAAAAACATATACACATCATTCAAATTTATGAAGTTTATTATTAAATCGTGCGCTAATTTGAATTAAATACTGTGATCAGAAATTTCACTAGCTAGCAAAAATTATGGACATAATGAAAAGAAGAAATTTTATGGCATATATTTTTTAACATGTACTGAAGCAACTGCGAATATAATCAGTTGTTAGAAATCTGATATTCAAATTTTAATAACATCTATTCGTGTTTGAATTATTTATGTAAACAGAAAATAAATATTCACATAATCTTGCAACTATAGATAGTTCTTTGAGCTACAGATAGCTAATAATTTTCGTATGATAATAGTGTAAATTAATAAATATTGAAAAATAAAAGTATTTGAACATATCAATGTTTTCTAAAATTACTGATTACTTAACGTTTTTGGGGAACGAGAGTGAGAATGAAATTTTAGTTACAATGTACATCTAAAAATAGTAGTTGTCCATTACGAAGTAATGACGTAATCAAAGAATTTTAGATAAGAATTGTTGGGACGAAGAACGGAAACGAAATATTAGTTACAATCTATATCTAAAAGTAGTACTTGCCCATTAGGAAGCAATGGCATATTCAGAGAATTTTAGATAAGAGTTATGTTCTATGTATTATGGAAGAAATTTTTATAGAAATGTAGTCTTTCGCGAATGAGATAAAATCGTATACAGATGTGTCTTTACATAATGTGATATAAATGTCTAAAGAAAACGTATTATACAGTTTTGCACAATACTGTAATGGTAATAATATGCCATAAAAATTGTGTGTTACGTCATTACTAACTAGTTACTACAAATCAATCAAATTAACAATGATGACAAAAAACAATGACTTTGATTTTATTAACATTTCTAATTTTTTCTTTTAATTTTTGTGTAATCACTAATGCAAAAGTAGTGTAGTATTTGGAATTAAAGAAGAGAAACATCCTTAGAAACTATAAAAAGTAATTTTCTGTAGCAAAGAAGCCAAATGTGCAACTGAATAAACACTTCTTAAGGTTGTATTTACAGTTCTGTGAATCAGAAAAAGTAAAGGAGAGAAATAATATAAAAATGGCGCACATGGTGGTAAAATGTAGGACATCATTAATTAAATATTTTATAGAAATGATACGAGTTTTAGGCGTGTTATCCATGAATCTGTTAACATAAAGAGAACAAAATACTTCAGAAGAGCGAACGTGGAAAAAGGTATTAATGAAAAAATAAAACCAATTCATTTAATACGAATTACAAGTGATATTCTGAATGCCCAAGTTTTTTTTTTTTTTTTTTTTTTTTTTTTTTTTTTTTTTTAGTCCAAAAGAGCAATTTGTCCATAAGAACTATTATATTCGTTTTGGTATTTTGCGTTGGTTCACTATAAATGTCCGATTCACTTTTCAAATTGTTGCCACCGAATATTATCGCCCTGTATTATATTTAAAGAAATTAAATAATCTAGAATCTGCATAAGTTTACCTATATTTTTCGCATTGTGATAAAACAACGGTACATAGAGCCATCGAATTTTGAATGACGTAATCATACTGAGGATATGGGCATGTGGAAGCCCATATTTGAAATTTGGAATTTGTTTTATTATCGGTTTCATGTTTTGTAAAACTTTAACGAATTTTTGATTAACAAACTCAAGGACTTAAAAAAGCGACCAATAGCAACACTCTGCCCGGGGGGAGGGGAACCTTTTTATCTCCAACGCATAACTGTGTATCGAAATTTTAAAGATACGCTCATTTTAAAATTATTTTGCGATATTGCTGTTGAACTTAATTTTATGGTTTAAGTGCGAAGAAAATAATATTTAATAAATAAAGGTAATACACAAAACGTTAAATAAACGTCCCTTTTGACATAATTTAAAAACTGAAACTTTCAGCCTTTTTTTTTTTTTTTTTTCCCATTTTCTCCAGTGGTTCACATGTGTTATCGGAACTTGTATGTCTGAAATTCATTTGCATAAATCTTAAACTAAATACTAAAGCATAGACTCCGAATGTTTTTCTAATAATATATAATTTTTCTCTATTAAGCCTTTCTTATAACAAAATAAATATCTTCAGAATATAATTCTTTGTAATAAAATAATTTATTCAAAGAGTGTTGTTCAGCAGCAACTGGCATAATAATTCGGACATCGAGAGTTTTGTTGAGATATTTAGGAAGCCAGTGTTTCTTGTCATACTTTGTTTTAAATGACTTAAGTGACCATATCACATGTTTCAGGCGCCAGGATAAAGTCCGATCATATATTAAAGTGATTAATTGATAGAAATTTATGGTAACATTGAGATGATGATACTAAAGCAATAAATTACTCCAGATGTAGTGAAAACGTTAAATCAAGTCGGAAAGTACGAGAGAGTTAGTAAAATGATGATAAACTCCGGTCTTAGTACCAGCTAATGGTACTACGACCGGAGTTTACCTCTTTTTACTAACTCGGTGGGTTAAACCAGGTGGGAGGAGCTGTGGTAGCGTAGCAGTAACATCGGGAACAAGAGTTTCCTATTGGCTGGAAGTACGGAGCTAACAAATTAATACCTTTGAATTAGCGGATGGGGTGACAGTGGGTCGGACTAATTTCAGAGCCTAACATAATTTAGTATAAAAACTAAAAGCCTAAAAATAAAAATAAGGAGTCTAAAATAAGAATAACAGTAAGCGCTATATAGGTGAACTGAAGTAGCAGCGACTACATAAGCAATTATTAGATCAGGTAATAAAAATATGTAGACAAAATTATATTAATCTAAATAAAGGAGCGCTGCCTACAGATCTTTTTCAATTCACGTTATCGGGGAAATCACAATTCATTTGTGGGATGCGTTCATTATACACACGTTCTATGTTTCTAAATGCCTGAGGTTTGTGTTTTATATTTGTAGTTTTTTTAGGTTAGTTTTACACGCGTAACCTCATAAAGGTCACGAACACTTAGCCGACAGGATATTTAGCCGACACGGACAGTCAACCTACAGCGACATTTAGCCAACAGGGCACTAGCCGACAGGGGCATTGCAGAAAACTGGATTGCAGTGTTGCATATAACTACCCACTCGCTGTTATTTGCTTGAGGGTTGGTTGTTTTTTGTAATATCTGTAGTTTATTGAGATTAGTTTTACACGCGTAACCTCATACCGGTCGCGGACACTTAGTCGTCAGCAGTTAGCCAACAGTATACACTTAGCTGACACGTACATTTAGCAGACACGGACAGTTAGCCGACAGGACAGTTAACAGACATGAACAATTAGCCGACGGGGACATTTAACCGACACGAAGAGTTAGCCGACAGGAACATTTAGCCGATATGGACAGTTAGCCGACAGGACATTTAACTGATACGAACCTTTAGCCGACACGGAAATTTAGCCAACAGGACAATTAGCCGACGGGCCATTTAGGTGACACGGACATTTAACCGACAGGATACTTAATTGACAGGGAAATTAAGCCAAAAGGCCATTTTACCTACACAGACATTTAGGCTACAAAATATTTAGCCGACAGCACTTTTAGGTGACAACGCGTACATATAAACAAAAACAAAACAAAAAAATGCTACAATGTTTTAGTAAAATTTTTTCATATTTATCTGTAAAACAAGCTGTTTTCAGTGTAGTTTCCAAGAAGCTTTCTGAATAAGTAGTATATTTTTTACTTTATTTAATTTTAAAGAGACTATGGATTTTAAAATTAGACGCAAAAGCAACCCTATCTTGGTTGTCTAATGAGACATAGGTCTGTATAACGATTTTCTGTAGAAAGTATGGTGTGGTGTGGTGGTGGTGTATTTAATTATGGCAAAGCACACTAGGGCTATCTGCCTAAGAGGAGGGATGCCTTTCGTGGAGGACTTTCTAAGGGAAACTGGCTCGTATACACGTTACACATGGGGAAAACCACGAAAACACCCATGCAGCCAGCCCGTTCGCGGGATAAGAACCTCGGACCGAACTACCAGTGTTCAGCGACTTTACCGCTCGGCCGCTGGTGGGACCTGTAGAAAGTATGAGCGGAGCAAAGCGAAAACAAATATAACTTGATCTGTCGAGTAAAATAACTAGTGATGGAACAGGAAAAAAAACTAATCTATCAGAAATTTCGAAACGTTAAAAAAATTAATGTCATTAACTAAAGATTGCAAATTTTTGTTAAATTGGAAAGTTTGAAAGAATCTCTAAGCTACTAACTGAAGCCATCTTATGGATAATTTTTGTAAAATCAAATTCAAATTGTCAAGTGCGCAATTGTGATTAGCTATCAAAATTTTACTTATTTCTCGTTTTCGAACATACAGTTCCCCGATAAGAATTTTCAAAGCCCTTTCAGTTTGGTTGATATGTGTCAAATCACATTGACATGATAATCTAAAATTGCACATGAATTAAAACCATTGATGAGATTTTTAAGAACTGATCAAGGAATTTTAGTTATTATTGCAAAAATAACCTGAATATTGAATCTGCGGAGAATCCGAAAAATTTGTAACCAATAGAGAGATGAAGGTAACAAGACTAGAATGCTAGGATTATTTTTAATATCTGAAAGTCTTTTATGATGGCAAGAGGAACATTTTTGAAAGGCCTCATCTCTCTCCGTGGCAGAAAATCCTCTCTCAATGGAAATTGATTTAGTTGGCAGATTTTGCATAAAAGGACCCCCCCCCCCCCCAAAAAAAAATATACTGTAAACAATTTTGGTTCTAAACCAAGAAAAAAAAAATCTGAAAGCTTTCACATTTTATATTACGTCTAAAGGGGCGCTTTTTTAACGGT